TGTCCAATGCAATACTGTAAGGGAAGGCCTGGCAAGTCTCCTGTCAGCCAGCATCTAATGGAGGCAGGGTTCCTTTAGCTAGAATTTCTCTCAATGTAAAAATGACTTTAAGAACCAGCAGGTTAAACTGAGTCTCCACAGTCTATAGGAGGTAGCTCTCTGGACTACTGTCTCCAGCTCCTTCAGTCAAGGGAAGCCACAAACATCAAACTGCCCTGTCCTCGGACCAGGGAGAGCAAAGCAGAGGTTGGTCCACAGAAGGGGAGCTTTCCATGATGAACTGCACATAACTCTCCCCTGCATTTGGCAGGTTTCCATGGAAATAGTGGCCTAGAGAAAATTATGCTTTTTTATTAAAATAAAAACCAAACAAACTATAAATACTACTTCAATGGCTGTTGAGTTTGTTTTTATTTTTTGGCATCTTACCAAGCTAGGAGAGTTGACCATTAGGTATGAGGTAAGGTAAACAGGTTTGTTCCCTTCTACTCACAAAGCTTACTTTTTTCTTTCCACTTGCCTTGGGTCATCCGCATTATCTTTCACATTTCACTGTGAAAAATTCCCAACCTATTTTTGCCCATGTGGATTTCCACTCATTATTTAGACCATTTATCGACGCTTTATGCTGGGGAGGCTAATAATCAGTAAGATACATGACTGTTTACAAGAAAGGTCTAGTAGGAAATATGGAAGCCAACAGATTACAGTAGATCTTGGTAAACACCATGGTTATGAATATCCCAGGGCTCTACATTCTCCTAGTAAGGAGTACCTAACTCCCCCCGCGCCCACACACACACACACACACACACACACACACACACACACACACACACACACACGGGGGAAGATGGTGTGAAGACTCTTAGCTAGATGGTACTGAGGGCATGGGGTGTTTACCTCAGGCATGGGACCAGTGGCTGGCTCATGGCCCAGGATGCATCATGGGTAAAACCCCTAGGCAAAAGATGGGGTGGCAGCTGGGCAGGGGGTACACGGCGGGGGTGGGGTGGGGTGGTGGTGGTGATGTTACTTTAGTAGGACTAGACTTGTGGAGAGGGGAGGAGGGCACTGGTACTCTGTAGGCAAGAGTAGACTGTAGGGGAAGAGCCAGCAGGAACAGGATGGGAGGGCTGGGTCACTGACAGGACAAGGCCAGTAACAGCCAGGCAGAAGACTGCTGGGAAAGGGAAAGGCCAAGTGAACTTGATTTTAAGTGTTAGGCTGGGAGCTACAAAAATCCCTCAAGAATGGAGAAGACAGGAGTAGTCTAGTCCATCAGGACATTTCTGAGGAGCAACTTTGGATCTAGCCCAGATCTATTCCAACCCTCTCACACACATCTGCTCTCCAACCCAGCCTTTCTAACACCTCTGGTCCTACTTCCCAGGTCTCCCTGGCAGGAGCTTTGAAGTCACAGCATACCCTCCCAAAGCATCAACCATTTCAGCAACTTTGGAGGGGGAAAAGTTGTATGTCACAAACAGTAACATTATAAATATTTTTTAAAAAGGTAGGAGAGGGCTGGGGTGTAGCTCAGGGGTGGTGTATCTGCTTTGCATGGGTGAAGGCCTGGGTTCCACTGTTGGCAAAACATGAAAATAAAATTTAAAGGTATGACAGGTCAATGCTTTATGCTTTCAACTCCAAAGGCTGTGTGTCCCCTAGAAATAAGCAATCATCCTCTGTACAACTCAAACAATGTGGAGGCCACTTTGTTTGCTTATCTTTTCATGCCTTTCAGATTAAGAAAGTCTCCTCTCTTTCTGTCCTTGCTATCAAGTAGGTTGCCAGGTACAACCCCTTGGACAGGCTTCTTCAACTAAGTGCCTTACTGGGTGATGAAAAGCATCAGTTAACACACTGTCACTTTGAGCCTGCAGCTGCTCCAGGGAGATGTCCTTGTTCAGAGACCCCAGTAGATCCAACCTGAAGCTACTCTTTCCCAGGAGCTAACAAGGGTTATTACTTTTTTTTTTTTTTTTGAGAGAGAGAGAGAGAGAGAGAAGAGAGAATTTTAAAATATTTATTTATTTTTAGTTTTAGGCGAACACAGCATCTTTATTTTATTTGTATGTGGTGCTGAGGATCGAACCCAGGGCCGCACGCATGCCAGGCGAGCATGCTACCACTTAAGCCACATCCCGAGCCCGGGTTATTACTTCTTAAATGGATCCAGGCTGGTTCCTGTACTTCCCAGGAGCCTTAATTTACACTGGACCTAGTGCAAGTGCTGGGAACTTCTGCTTGCAAGGCTCCTTAGGAAATGAGATCTGAAACCACAGGCAGAGTGAATTGCTGCCAGGACACCCACTGTCCTTCTTACACTGCTCTACCTCCAGGGACCAGTCTATTACGGTGGGAAGAGTCTTACTTCAGGACTTCAAAGATACCCACCCTACCAAAACCAAACCGGAGAGGCTGCTTGTTTGGTCTACTTCCTTATGTAAAGGCAAGACCAGCACGGCTCTAGTTATCTGTTCCCAGGATAGCACTGCTATCACCAGGCTTGCCTGGATTTTAAATGCTTCTTTTTAAGTACAAAATGAACCAAATAATGCATCTTTTTGCCCAAAGAAGTGTGTCACCTGCTCTTATAATCAAGTTGTGCTTCCCACAGCTTTCGGATGAGCTCACAGGCATTCAAACTGTTACCCAGTCTACTGAAATGTGGCATTTCTTCACTGACCTTCTGAGCATTATTTGGCCAGCACCCAGGACTTGCTGGTTCTATCACTAAGCATTCAGCAGTTGCGACTCTGGGAGAAAGACAGTTTTTTTTTTTTTTTTAAACTTAATTTTTTACTTGTGGTTGTACACAATACCTTTTTTTATTTTTATGTGGCGCTGAGGATCAAACCCAGGGCCTCGTACGTGCTAGGCGAGCGCTCCACCGCTGAGCCACAACCCCAGCCCCAGCTGACTTTTATTTTAAAACAAACACGGCAAGCTCTCAAAGGTGGTACTTAATTTTAAAGACACAAGCCTATTACTGAAATAAGAAAACAGCCTAATCACTGCCTTTTCCAGTGGGGAAATCTATTATTTCCAGAGAGCCCAGGGACACACAGCTGATACCACACCATTTTCTCATTTTCTTGAGGTGGTCAGCCTAAACTGGCCCACATACTCCCAGCCAGCCCTCATTTCTCTGGGCCCATTCTGTCTGCCAAGCTTTTGCCACTCCCATTCCCCACCTATTTTCCCTCTGGCCCTCTGCCCATGTCTGAGCTTCAGAGGATTATTTTTTGGCTGTGTGCTCAGTTCCTGGTCAGCTGCCACCATGCTGTTTGGTATTTGAGATCCCATCAGCAAACTCACTAACCAGCATATAATTACAGGCCACTGCCCCCAAAAGCACACTCTGTCGTCACCAGGAAGCACTACTGTTCACAGGCCCAGGAAGCATCTCAGAAAGAGGCAGCAAATATTACAGGGCTGACATCCAGCAGCTGAGGAGGCCGAGACAGGAGGATCGCAAATTCAAAACTAGCCTCAGCAATGCAACTCAGTGAGAAGCTGTTTCTAAATAAAATACAAAACAGGGCTGGGGACGTGGCTCAGTGGTTGTGTGCCCTTGAGTTCAATCCCCAGTAGAAAAACAACAACAAAAACAAAAACAAACAAACAAACAAACCCCCACCAAGATCCAAGTTCAAATATGTGGGGGTAACTGCCCAAGGTTACACAGCTAACTGGAGGCAGAAACTAGAGCCATACTCACAAACACAACAAACCCAAGATAAAAGGTAAGAAAAGCCTCTAAGTACCAAAATGAAGTCTGCTACACAGTAGTCTTCTGGGCTTCTCCACAGATTTGTCAGAACACAGGCAACCCTTACAACAAGAAATGCTCCTGAAACAAACAGATGCCATTAAGTACCAAGAATCTTTATTTATTCTCAGTTCTGAAATGGAGTCCATGACTCAGATAATATGCCACTATTTGAAAATAAAAGGTCCCACCAGCCCCAGTCTTCCCAAATCTTTAGTTACAAGATCACACTTCATTCACTGCACTAGACAATCAAGCTGAAGAATTAAGGAGGTACACTGAAGATAAAAGCAAAAAAAGGAATCATCTTACAAGCAGATCATCCCAGTTACTTAAAAGGTTAAGTTCCAGATTAATTTACACAGTAGTGACAAAACTATTTAGTCTCAGTGAAAACGAAGACAGTTATACCATTTAGAAAAGATTAATTCAGAAATACGAATTCAGGCAAGCATGCAAAATTCAGAATACTAAAAAAAAAAAAAAAAA